GCTGCACTTGTGGCTCTTCTGACGTAATGCTGAAAAGGCTTTCTCCCATCAGTTTCATGACAGCTAATGTTTTCAAATTTAGCTGAAACAGTGACATCGAGAGACTCTTACGGCAATCTTGAGTGAGGACTCTAGACACAGCCACAACATAAATATGGAATATAAATAATAAAGCTGCTCATCTGCAACTCGGGGTGCTCCTGATAGTAAAACACACACACACAAAGGGCTAAAAGCTATGACCTTCTAAATTATAATTAAGCCTTATAATACATAAATACAGCAGTCCCTAGCCATGCATACAGTGGAAAAGGGCTTATGCTGTTGGAATGAGAACTAAAACTAGAAGCTGCTTTTTTTTTTAGCCTTTATTTAAAGTAACCTCACTGAGTCTACAAATGTCTGGCTGTACAGTCAGGTTTGCAATGAGGGCATTGGCAAGGGACAAGGGTAGGTTGAATACAAAAGCCAGAATTTTGTGTGACTGCTTCCATCTAGAGCATCTTCCCAGGTTTCACTCTTTGGAAGGCTTGCTGAGCCATAGTTGGCTAGAAACCTTGGAGGCTATTATGCAACAATTTTGCTTCCAAAAGATTTTTCTTTGAGCCAAATTACTGTCATTAGGATGGCAATAGTATTGGCTTGGCCAGCCAGACCTAAAAATAGATTACATGATTTAAGCTTATTTTAGAAGTTAGCTTGGCACTGACAGGCTGTGCCAGATTGTTCATGGAGCTACAGATACCCCACTTGTGTGAGAAACGTGGGCAGTTCAGCAACCTCTACAGATTCTGGGCATGTCTCTCCATGGAGGGAAGGAGGAATATTTTACGCTGTAGAGTCTCACACAGTAAGGCCAGAAAAGGCCAAGCAGCTCACCTAGTCTGACCTCCTGTGTCACAGGCTGCCAGCACCCTCAGAATAAACCCAACCGCCGATATTAGATGCAGGTGTTACAGCTCACACCTCAGACTACTACATGGCGCAGGAGAAGAGCAGGGACTGAGGTGCGCTTGTACCTAAAGCCCCCACAACAGCAGGGAAAGGACAAGAGATTCCCCGACGTATCCCTGCACCCACACACAGCAGAGAGCAGACACCTGCCAGCCTGATGGGGGGGGGAGATATTCCTTCACCGCCAGAGCCTTGCTGCAGGGCACCCCGACCCCACACCCTCCCCTTTGCCCCAGAGCCCAGCTGGGGCGCCCCTAACCCAAACACCCCTCCTGCCAGAAGCCA